AACATACATTTGTGGTAATAGGTTCTGTAGCTTTTTATCAGCTTCTCTCAGGAAATAGAGACCCCAAAATATGCTAGTCTAAGCATTCTCCCTTCCATTCTACAGATGGGGAAACTGAGGTTCAAAGAGGTAGAAGTGACTTGCCAAAGGTAGGTCACAGAACATACTAGTGATAAGACTGATCCAGAACGAAGAGCACCAGACTCCCATTTCAGAACCATGTCCCTTTTCAGAGTCCACATATTATAATACCATAAGTGTTACATTTTATCATTTGATGAGAAATTTCAAAATATATTTTTGGATATCGCAGTTGGTTGACTGTCAGCAATTATATTCATTCTTATTTAGGTTATTGGATAAGCTGCCAAATAAAGTGGTGTATTAGCCTTTAGGATGTTTATGATAATTACGAATTTTATAGGTCTCAAAATGAGTAATTACCCCCCACCCCCAAAAAAAGTAGCAATGGAATATTTTCTGTAGATGCTTATATATACTACTTAATCTTCTGATTCAAGGCAGTGAGGTTACTTGTTAGAAAATAAATTTGAAGGTGAACAAACTAGAACAAGGAAAGATGTTGTAAATTAATAAGAGTATGCAAGTGAAATTATCTATTGTGAAAATTGTGCAAATGGAACATTTAAATAGAGCCCCAAAATTTATTTTTTAAAATTTATTTTCTAAAAATCTTTATTGTTGAAAGTATTACATATGTCCCTCTTTTTCCCCATTGACCCCCTTTTATCACACCTCGGACCCCCTCCCCTGGCCGTCACCACCCTATTGTCTGTATCCATGGGTTATGCATATAAGCATGCAAGTTCTTTAGTTGATCACTTCCCACACTCCCCTGCCTTCCCTCAGATTTCACAGTCTGTTATTTGCTTCAATGTTGTTCATCAGTTTATTTTGTTCATTAGATTCCACATATAAGCAAGATCATGTGATACTTGCCTTTCTCTGACTGGCTTATGTCGCTTAGCATAATAATTTCCAGCTCCCTCCTTGCTGTCTCAAAGGGTAAGAGATCCTTCTTTTTTACTGCTGCATAGTATTCCATGGTGTAAATGTACCACAGCTCTTAAACATTTTTATTTCATTTTTATTTTATGTTTTCTTTCAGACAGAAAGGGAGAGGGAGAGAGAGATAAAAACATAAACGATGACACAGAATCATTGATCGGCTGCCTCTTGCATGCCCCAAACTGGAGATTGAGCCCGCAACCTGGGCATGTACCCTGACTGGAATAGAACCGTGACCTCCTTGTACATAGGTTGATGCTCAACCATTGAGCCATGCCAGCTGGGCTATTTTTTTTTATTTATTTAAAAAAAATGCTTATTGTTGAGAGTATTACAGATGTCCCCCTTTTTTCTCACCGTTGCCCCCTCCACCCAGTTCCCAACCAACTAGGCCTTCACCACCCTATTTTCCGTGTCCATAGATAATGCATACATATATATATATAAGACCTTTGGTTGATCTCTTCCCGCCATCAACCCCTCTTCTTTCTGAGATTCGTCAGTCTGTTCTATGTTTCCACGCCTCTAGTTCTATTTTATTCATTGTTTTTTCCCCCCATAAGATTTCTTGTTTATTTTGATTTTTAGATTGAATTATTGGTAGACATGTATTTATTGCCATTTTATTGTTCATATTTTTTCTTCTACTTCTTTGTTCTCTCTTCCTCCTCCTCCTCCTCTTCCTCCTCCTCCTTCTTTTCCTCCTTCTCCTCCTCCTGTTCCTTCCTTCCTCCTCCTCTTTCTCTCCCTCCTCCTGTTATTCCTCCTCCTCCTCCTTCTTCAAAAATACCTTCCACCATTTCATGTAATATTGGTTTGGTGATTAGCTTTTTCTTGTCTGAAGTTCTTTATCTGACCTTCAATCTAAATGATAGCTTTGCTGGGTAGAGTAATCTTGGTTGTAGGTCATTGCTATTCGTCACTTTGAGTATTTCTTGCCAATCCTTTCTGGCCTGCAAAGTTTCTGTTGAGAAATCAGCTGACAGTCATATGGGCGCTTCCTTGTAGGTAAGGAACTGCTTTTCTCTTTCTGCTTTTAAGATTCTCTCTTTGTCTTTAACCCTTGGCATTTTAATTATGGTGTGTCTTGGTGTGGGCCTCTTTGGGTTCCTCTTGTTTGGGACTCTGTGCTTCCTGGATTTGTAAGTTTATTTCTATTACCAAGCAGGGGAAGTTTTCTATCATTATTTCTTCAAATAGGTTTTTAATATCTTGCTCTCTCTCTTTTCCTTCTGGCACCCCTATAATGCAAACTTTGGTATGTTTGAAGTTGTCCAGAGGTTCCTTACACTATCTTCATATTTTTGGATTCCTTTATCTTTTTGCTTTTTGGATTGGGTGTTTTTTGCTTCCTTGTATTACAAATCGTTCATCTGATTCTCAGAATCCTCTACTCTACTATTGAATTCCTGTAAATTCTTCTTTATTTCAGTTAGTGTATGCTTAATAATCTCTTTGAAATTCTAAGATCCTTGAAAGTCTCACTAAGTCCCTTGACGCTCTCATTAAGTCCCTTGAAGCTCTCATTAAGATTCTTGAGTAACCTTACTACCATGGTGTTGAACTCTATCCAGTAGTTTGCTTTCTTCCATTTCTAACATGTTTTTTTGTCTCCTCATTTTGGCTGCTTCCCTGTGTTTGTTTCTATGTATTAGGTAGAGCAGTTATGTCTCCTGGAATTGGTAGAGTGGCCTTGTATAGTAGGTGTCCTGTCAGGCCCAGTGGCTCAGTCTCCCTAGTCATCTGAGCTGGGCACTCTAGGTGTACCCCTTTGTGAGCTGTATGCAAAGTCTTGTAGTTGAGCCTTGATTACTGTTGGCATCACTGGGAGGAGTTGACCTCCAGGCCAGTTGGCTGTGAGGACCAGCTGTGACTGTAGTGGAAGGGCTGCTGTGCAGGAGATAACCCTGTGGATTAGGACTTCCTTCAGTGGGGCTTTGGTGCTCACTGAGTCTGCCCCTTGAGTGTGTTGCTTGTGGATGTGTAGAGTTGTAATCTGTTATGGTCTGAAGCTGTCTACCAGGTGTACTGGCTCTAGGGCCTTCACAGAGATGCAAAGTGTTTTACCTCCTTGGTTAAGTTTATTCCTAAGTATCTTAATTTTTTTTGTTGCAATGGTAAATGGGATTATTTGTTTAGTTTCTCCTTCTGAGAACTCATTATTGGTGTATAAAAAAGCTATCGAATTTTGGGTGTTGATTTTGTGTCCTGCTACATTGCCAAATTCATTTATTAAACCCAGTAGTTTTTTGGTGGAGTCTTTAGGGTTTTCTATATATAACTAGAGGCCCGGTGCACGAATTCATGCACAGGTAGGGTCCCATGGGGGCGTTGGGAGGGGCGGGATGTGATTTGCCCTCTGGGCGGGCGGTGGGACGCCCTTGCCAGCCCGGGATCCGGATCTGTCCTGCTGACGTTTGCGCTGGTTGTTGGGAGCCACCTGGCAGCCGCTTTTATATCCTTTCTTCCTTGTGGAGCGTCTAAGGAGGGGAGGCGGCCACGGTGCCCGGGGCCGACTTCCAGGAGGCTGGTGGTGCTATTGGGATCATGCCGGTGATGCCGGTCCGTCGATTCCTGGACCGTTCTCCGGAGATTGGACCTGCAGGACTACTGAGGGAGTGAGTGACTACCGCCAGGCTGTTGGGCTGCTGGCACGGGTCTGTCAGCTGAGCAGCGCTCCCGCTGTGGGAGTGCACTGACCACCAGGGAGCAGCTCCTGCGTTGAGCGTCTGTCCCCTGATGGTCAGTGTGTGTCATAGTGACCAGTTGACTGGTCATTTCAGTCATTTGGTCGTAACAGTCACTTAGACTTTTTATATATAGAGATACCATATCTGTGAATAATAAAAGTTTTACTTCCTCCTTTCCAATTTGGATGCCTTTTATTTCATCTTTTTTTTCCAAATATATTTTTATTTATTTCAGAGAGGAAGGAAGAGGGGGGGGGGAGAGAGAGAAATACCAATGATGAGAAAGAATAATTGATCGGCTCCTTCCTGTACGCCCCCTATGGGGGTTTGAGCCTGCAACGCAGGCATGTGCTTTTGACCGGAATCAAACCTGGGACTCTTCAGTCCGCAGACCGACACTCTGTCCACTGAGCCAAACTGGCTAGGGCTGTTTCTTCTTGTCTGATCGCTGTGGCTAGCATTTCCACTACTATGTTGAATGAGAGTGGTGAAAGTGGACATCCCTGTTCTTAGGGGAAATGGTTTAAGTTTTTGCCTATTGAGTGTGATGTTGGTTGTATGTTTGTCATGTATGGCCTTTATTATGTTGAGATAGGCTCCTTCTATTCCCACTTTGCTGAGAGTTTTTATCAAAACTGAGTGTTGGATTTTGTTGAATGTTTTTTCTGTGTCTATGGATATGATCATGTGATTTTTGTCTTTGATTGTGTTTATGTGATGTATCACATTTATTGACTTGAGAATATTGTATCAGCCTTGCATCCCTGGAATGAATCCCACTTGGTCATGGTGTATGATCTTTTTAATATATTGCTGGATCCAATTTGCTAATATTTTGGTGAGGATTTTAGCATCTATGTTCATCAGAGATATTGGCCTGTTGTTCTCTTTCTTTGTAGAGTCTTTATCCGGTTTTGGATAATGCTGGCCTCATAAAAAGAGCATGGGAGTGTTCTTACTCTTGGATTTTTTTGGAATAGTTTGAGAAGTATAGGTGTTAGTTCTTCTCTGAATGTTTGGTAAAACTCCCCTGTGAAGCCTTCTGGACCTGGGCTTTTGTTTGCTGGGAATTTTTTTATTCCTGCTTCAATTTCATTAGTTGTTATTGGCCTATTCAGGTTTTCTGATTCTTCTTGATTCAGTTTTGGGAGATTGTATTTTTCTAGGAATTTGTCCATTTCATCCACGTTGTCCAGCTTGTTGGCATATAGTTGTTCATAGTACAAGGAAGCAAAAAACACCCAATCCGAAAAGCAAAAGGATAAAAGAACCCAAAAATATGAAGATAGTGTAAGGAACCTCTGGGACGACTTTAAACATACCAAAGTTTGCATTATAGGGATGCCAAAGGAGAAGAGAGAGAGCAAGGTAGTAAAATCCTATTTGGAGAAATATGCAGAAATGTACATAGGGGATAGTAGAAGTTCTTTAATTTCCTATTCCCTCTCTTCGGAGGTGTCTTTGTTCAGTAACCATTGTGAAAACGTCTTTAGAATATAAGAGCATCTATACATCTTATTTTTTAAGCAGATATGTACATACATATATATATATATATATTTCAGAGAGGAAGAATGAAGGGAGAGAGAAACATCAGTGATGAGAGCAAATCATTGATTGGCTGCCTCCTTCACGCCCCCCACTGGGGATTGAGCCTGCAACTCCCGCATGAGACCTGACCAGGAATGGAACTGTGACTTCTGGTTCATAGATTGATTCTCAACCACTGAACCACACTGGCTGGGCCATACATCATTTTTTAAAATGTTTTTTTCATAAATGAGATTGTATGTCTCATGTTCTTTACTTTTCCATGTTCACTTTATTGTGGATGAGTTTTGAAGGAAGTTTGTTTTCATTGCGTGGTTTTTGTTGAATAGATAAAAATGTAGAATGTGCTTTGGTTTTAGAGACACTGTAATGGAAAAGATTAGTATTCTTTTAGTATTCATATTGCACCTGTTTGAACTGGAAATCCAAAGAGTGCTTTATTTATTTATTGTCTTTAATTTTCTTGGCTTTGTTCTCCTGGTCCCTTACGCTGTTAGGGATTGTCCTTAGTGAGTTATGATATAAGATATTTATTGTACAGCAAGTATGCTGATACTTTATAGGAAAGTAATTGCATACTGGTTTTAAAACCAGAGTAGATTTTTAAAAATTTATTTATTGACTAAAGTTTTACATGTCTCCTTTTTCCCTATTTGACGCCCCCAGAGTAGCTTTTAATAGTTCTAATTGCATCTTTGATGAAATTGATTCTTGACTGTCTTTCATAATTTTGATTGTAATAAAACTTTATTAATGTTTTGAAAGCATCTGCAAAATTGTGCTATAAAAATTTGTATCATATTATTTGATCCTCACATTAATCTTGGGAAGTAAATAGAAGAGATATTCTTAAAACAAAAATTAGAAAATCAGATTTAGCGATGGTTCATGAATAGCCTTTGGTCATATAGTTGGTTTGGTCCTGGAATTCAGTCTCTGGCCACATGTTCGTTCTTGAGCATTTCTTCAGGGAAGCACGATGCTATATTTGCTGAGGAGATAGGAGAAAGAACTTGTTTTTAAGATGGCATAGTCCAGTGGTCGGCAAACTCATTAGTCAACAGAGCGAAATATCAACAATACAAGGATTGAAATTTCTTTTGAGAGCCAAATTTTTTAAACTTAAACTATATAGGTAGGTACATTGTTATTAACTTAATTAGGGTATTCCTAAGCTGGCCTTTGCTAAAAATGTCCTCAATCTGATTGAGGTACGTTCGCTGAGGTCGACCCCTTCCAACTCTCCCATCCACACTCGTCTTGTATACTTGTTTTGTCTATCTTCTTTCCGAAAACTGACTTCTGCGCATGGGCCACGAAATTTCAATCGCACTGTACATGCGCGCCTGCACGTGGTATTTTGTGGAAGAGCCACACTCCAGGGGCCAAACAGCTGCATGTGGCTCGGGAGCCGCAGTTTGCCGACCACTGGCATAGTCTGATGTGGGAGAAAGGCAAAACTATTAGCAGTTTCTAGTTAATTTATAATTAGAAGTGTATCGTAAGAGTACAGAGGAGGTACATCTATCTCAAAATGAGGTGAGAACCTAGAAATGGCTTCTCGGAAAAGGTGATTCTTTAGGTGAGTCATGAAGAGCAAATTGGTGTTTTCTAGTTGGATATCCCAGGCATCCCAGCTAGAGGATCTATTTGTATGAAGGTCTGGCAAAACCAAATGCAGTGTGTTTGAGGAGTATTTGAGTATTTATCTAGTAGAATTTCCTGATCTCCTGCTTTGTATAAGGTACAATGCTTTTATTTTTTTGCAATCAATAATGCACATGTAAAATTAAGAGTTTTGATTATAGCATTTACTTTTCTTATTGGAAGTTGCATTTTATTCAATAAACATTTTTATTTATTTTAACCTTGTCTTTTAATCTCTGCTGTGGCACTAGATATTAGAAAACTGGCATTAATAGAATTCTTTTTCTCAAAAAACCTAGTTAGTGGGAAATTTTTATTTAAAATTCAGTTGAATTATAAATGTATTTTGCAGATGGACTTGTGTCAAACTTCGCTAATTGGAATATAGCTTTTGATCCAGAGAAGAAGTGTTGAAAAGACCTTTGAAATCATCCATAGATACCCTAAAAGGCAGTTTATAAAATTAAACAGCATTGTATGATTAAAAATTAAGCAAACTAGTAATTGATAAAAATATAATTAAAATAGTTCTTTGAAACCACTAGTAGCCTGACCAGTGCGTCTGAGTGGTTAAGTGTTGTTCACAGTTTACCAGTCAGGGCACATGCCTGGGTTGCAGGATTGATCCTCAGTAGGGGGTGTGCAGAAGCTAGCCAGTCAGTGATTCTCATCATTGATGTTTCTTTCTCTCTCCCTTTCTCTCTGAAATCAATAAGAATTTTTTTTTTAAAAAGAAAGGAACAACTAGTAAATATTGAAATTCTTTTTTAAAAATTATTTCTATTGATTTTAGAGAAAGGGAGGGAGAGAGAGACATCGATTTATTTCACTTTTTTAATGCATTAATTGGTTGTTTCTTGTATGTACCCTGATTGGGGATGAAACCCACAACCTTCGCATATCGAGATCACGTTCTAATCAATTGAGCTACACAGCCAGAGCTAAATGGTGATGTTCTTAAAGTAAAATAGGAAGTCCTATTATAACTATTATTCAAAACTTCTTGAGGGCCTAGCTGATACAGTAAGTTAATAAAGAGGAGTAAGTGCAAATGTTGGAAAGAAAGATGATTATTTTCAGATGATGTTTAAGAAAAAAATTCCAGCCGTAACTAGTTTGGCTCAGTGGATAGAGCGTCAGCCTGCGGGCTGAAAGGTCCCAGGTTCGATTCCGGTCAAGGGCATGTACCATGGTTGTGGGCACATCCCCAGTGGGGGGTGTGCAGGAGGCAGCTGATCGATGTTTCTCTCTCATTGATGTTTCTAACTCTCTATCCCTCTCCCTTCCTCTCTGTAAAAAAAATCAATAAAATATATTTAAAAAGAAAAATTCCAAGGAAATTAACTAAAAAACGATTAGTGCCGAAACCGGTTTGGCTCAGTGGATAGAGCGTCGGCCTGCGGACTGAAGGGTCCTGGGTTCGATTCTGGTCAAGGGCATGTACCTGGGTTGCAGGCACATCCCCAGTGGGGGATGTGCAGGAGGCGGCTGATCGATGTTTCTCTCTCATCGATGTTTCTGACTATCTCTCTCCCTTCCTCTCTGTAAAAAATCAATAAAATATATTTAAAAAAATAAAAAAAATAAAAAACGATTAGAACCAATAGTTCTAAATGATAGCTTTGCTGGGTAGAGTAATCTTGGTTGTAGGTCCTGGCTGTTCATCACTTTGAGTATGTCTTGCCAATCCCTTCTGGCCTGCAAAGTTTCTGTTGTTTGGTAAGGTGGCTGGATACAGGACTAATAAACCAATTGCAAAATTTCCTTTATACCAACAATGATTAGCTTAAAAATGGAAAAAAGACCTCACATTAGGAATAAAAATTGTAGGAATAAATTATAGGGTACTATTTAATAAGGAATATGCAACATTAAAAAAAAATCCTCACCTGAGGATGTTTTTATTGATTTTTAAAGAGAAAGGAAGAAAGGGAGAAAAGGTGGGGGGAGGGAGAAAGAGAAAGAGAGATATATAGAGAGAAACATTGATGAGTTGCCTCCTGTACATTCTCTGAGAATTGAACCCACAACCTTTTGCTGTGTAGGATGATGCCGCAACCAACTGAGTGACCAGCCAGGGTGAAACACACAACATTTTTATGAAGAACACTATACAACTTATTTGAAAAAAAAAAAATCAGAATTAAACAAGATCTGTATTTCTCAGTTCAAACTATTAATTTGGTGAAGGTGGCAGCTCCTCCCTCATTAATTTATAGATGGAATGGAATGTCAATCAAAATTCCGCTTCCCTCCTCACCCTTTTTTGAGGTAGGAGGAAACTTAACTAATGAAGTAGAAAATATATCTGGAAGGATAATTAATTATATGAGAATAACAAAGTTTAAAAAAAACGAAAAGTTGGAGGGACTTGATGTATCAGTTGTTGAAATGTATTGGAAAGCAGCAATAATTGAACCATGTTGCACTGATATGGGAAGAGAATACAAAGCTGGAACATAGTAGTCCAGAATCAGAACTATGATTAGAATATTTCAAATTGTAAAGGTGTGGAGAAGCAGAGAACGCTAGCGGAAGTATAAAATGCTATAAGTTTTTTGTAGGTAGTACCAAAGCCTTAAATATCTATATGTCTTCTGACCCCATCTAGTTTACTTTTAGCCATTTATTCAGTCTCTGGTATATATATATGTTGCAATAGCAAAGAACTGAAACAATGTGAATGTCTAGTTGGAATAAATTGGTTAAACTGTGGTGTTCTACATAATGGAATTTTGTGGAACTTTCAAGAAATGTGCATCTAATGTAGTAATTTTGTGTTTTGGGTGTTTTTTTTCTTCTTTTAAAAAAATCTTTATTGTTGAGAGTATTGCAGATGTCCCCCCCCCCCCCTTTCCCCCCTATTATCCCCCTCCACCCAGTTCCTGCCCCACCCCAGGCCTTCACCATCCTATTGTCTGTGTCCATAGGTAATGCATATCTCTATATATAAAAAGCTAATATGCTAGGTGTCCCTCTGACTGTGCAGCTGGTCGCTATGACATGCACTGACCACCAGGGGCCAGACGCTCAATGCAGGAGATGCCGTGACGTGCACTGGCCATTTACAAAGAAACGGCGCTGCAGACCTGGTGTTGACAAAGCAACATGGCTTCCCCCAAGTGGGACACAGGTCCTTCCACCACCCTGGAGCGACACCCCACCAAATTGCAGCTGATGCTGCCAAGACCCCATGGCGCAAAATGTGGCCAACAGCCCAGCCCAGTCCCGGAAACGGTCGCTGTGGGCACCGGGTAATGACGTCACATAGCAACGCCTGGCTTCCTCTCCCTAGCGACTAGCCGCTTCCTTGGAGTTTCTTCAGCCAAGGAACAAGACTTGCTTTATAGCCGGGTGCAAACATTTTACACTTTAGCCAAATGTCTGTGAAGCGTTTTCCCATGCCTCATCTCATTTGATCCTCACAGAAGTCCTGGAGTAAGTAGATAGGAGACTCAGTGGAATCCTATTTTCTTTTCATTAGCTGGACAACGGAGATTTAGAAAGTTTAGAAACTTGACCTGACTGAAAAGAAGTAAGAAATGGTGAACCTTGAAAATGACTTCAGGTTTTCTCACTGTGCAGAATATAGTCAAACACTGCTGCAGTTAATATTTCACCCTTTATTCTCCCTGTGTGATCTACAATAATAATCTGCTTCGTGTTGATATTTACTGCTGTGTTGCTGACAATTACCTGAAAGAGAAGTTGGGGTGCTTCGCTGGGCTGAGAAAAGTTTAGCTAAATCAGAAAGCAGGTCTAATTAAGCAAGTTTATTCTATGTCTATAAAAGGCTAAGTTGACTTGCTCTAAGTTGACTTATAAAGCTATCGCTGGCGCCAATCGCACATGTGTTAGATCTGTCATTGTCAATCATGAATTTGGTTGACACTTCTATTATAGAGAAAGGGTGAATAGCAATATTAAAATATTTCTTCTAATTAATTTCCTTTCAATGTGCACAAATTCGTGTACTGGACCACTAGTTTGCATATAAGATCTTTGGTTAATCTCTTCCCGCCGCCCCCACCACCCTTCCCTCTGAGATTCCTCAGTCTGTTTCATGTTTTCATGCCTTTGATTCTATTTTGTTCATCAGTTTATTTTGTTCATTAGATTTCTTGTTCGCTTATTTTGGTTTTTAGATTCAGTTGTTGATAGTTATATATTTATAGCCATTTTATTGTTCATATTTTTTACTAGAGGCCCAATGCATGAAAATTGTGCAAGAGTAGGACTTTGCAGCCGAGTCTGCCTTGATCCCTCCCTCACAGCCGTAGCCGGCTGCCTGCATTCCACCCTCGCAGCTGTGGCCGGCTGCCTGGGTCCATCCCTCCAGGCGTGGTGGCTGCAGCCCCAGCTTCGTCCCGGAAGGACATCCGGAAGGACGTCCGGTCTATGGACATTACGCTTTTATTATTATAGATCTTTCTTTTTCTCCTCCTTCCTTTTCTCCTTCCTTTCCTGCTTCTCCTCTTCTTCCTCCTATACACTTCAACATTTCATGTAATACTGGTTTGGTGGTGATGCGGTACGTTAGCTTTTTGTTGGCAGTGAAGTTCTTTATCTGACCTTGAATTCTAAATGATAGCTTTGCTGGGTAGAGTAATCTTGGTTGTAGGTCCTGGCTGTTTATCACTTTGAGTATGTCTTGCCAATCCCTTCTGGTCTGTAAAGTTTCTGTTGAGAAATCAGCTGACAGTCATATGGGAGCTCTCTTGTAGGTTACTAACTGCTTTTTCTTTCTGCTTTTAAGATTCTCTCTTTGTCTTTAACCCTTGGCATTTTCATTATGTGTCTTGGTGTGAGCCTCTTTGGGTTGTTTGGGACTCTCTATGCTTCCTGGACTTGTAAATCTATTTCTATTACCAGGCAGGGGAAATTTTCTGTCATTATTTCTTCAAATAGGTTTTTAATATCTTGCTCTCTCTCTCTTTTCCTTCTGGCACTCCCATGATGCGAATGTTGGTATTTTGAAGTTATCTCAGAGGCTCCTTACACTATCTTCATATTTTTGGATTCTTTTTTTCTTTTTGCTCTTCTGATTGGGTGTCTTTTGCTTCCTCATATTCCAAATCGTAGATTTGATTCTTGGAATCCTCTGCTGTTGAGTTCCTGTAAATTATTCTTTTTGTCAGTTAGTGGATGTGTAGAGTTGTAATCTGCTATGGTCTGAAGCTCTCCACCAGGTGCACTGGCTCTGGGGTCTCTGGGTAGGTGCAAAGTCAGTCATTGCCTGGGGCCATCCGGCAGGAGCTTCAGAGAGATCGGCAGATGGCTGCTACTTGTTTTGGTCTAGGAAGTGCCCAGGGTAGGCCCAGCTGTGAATCAAGGCAGGCTGGTGCTAGTGCCGGGTCTTTAGCTTTTTATTGATAGGTTTGGGGCATGCTGACTCCAGATACTGCTTGTTTGAGAGATTTTTAGCAAAGTTTGAATCCTGAGCCAGGACAGGCCATTTATATGGAAATAGCTTGGGTGGGTTGCAAATTTGATGGGGCAAGGTCTCAGGGAATCACCAGGGTGGAATGTGCAGTGTGGTTTACACTGATGGAAACTCAGATATGGCTACCTGTCAGCTCTGTGATGGGGGAAGTCCCAGCACAGGAACAATGACCTCTTCGAGCACTCCCGTCTGGGATAAAGCCACCCCTGATTTCCTGCCCCGATGCCAGACAGTCCATTTTTCCCCCATAAGTCCCTGGATTCCCCCAAAGCTGCTACCTGGCACTGGAACTCAGATGAAGCGAGATAGTGTAAGTTTGTGCTTGGACCCTTTAAGAGGGACTCTAGAGACTGTATAGCTTCCTCCGTGTCACTCAGCCACAATCTCCGCTGGTTTTTACAGCCCAGAGTTATGGGGACTTCTCTTCCCAGCTCTGCTACCTTGGGCTAGGGGTCTGATGTGCAGCTGGTACCCCCTGCTTCATACAGGAGGCCTTGGAGATATCCTCCCAATTAAAAAAATGCTGCATGTGGGTGCTGGACCAGCCTGTTCCACCTCTCTGCCCCTCCTACCAGTCTCAATGTGTTTTCTTCTTGACTACTGTAGTTGTAGAACTTCGATTCAGCAAAATTTCAGGTTGTTTTGAATGACGGTTGTTCTGTATTTTAGTTATAATTTTGACATGGGTTTGGGATTTGGCAAGTACAGGTGGTTATCTACGATGCATTCTTGGTTCTGGGTCTCTGTTTTTTTGTTTTTTAATGGAAAGGTCTGAATAGATATAGAAAGATGCTTAAAATAAGTGAGGAAAAAAAAGTGCCCCAAAGAATATATGTTTGTTTCTAAATTAAAAAAATGTCTGGTTGGAGTGTTGTCCCCAAAAGTGAAAAGGTTGCCAGGTTGATTTCTAGTCAGGGTACATACATACCTAGGTGTGGTTTTGATCCCTGGTTGGGGTATGTACAGGAGTCAGCTGATGGATGTTTCTCATATCGATGTTTTTCTCTCTCACCCTCTCCTCCTCCTCCTCTCTCTCACCAATTAAAAAAATATACTTGGGTGAGGATGAGGAACATCTATATCAATTGGTATATGTATAGAAGCAGAATTGGAAGATAAAACTTTTTTTTTGTTGTTGTTGTTTTTTGGAAGATAAAACTTTTAAGAATAGTTAAATAGGGAGTAGGATTTGGAAGTGGCAAGAGTCCTCAATTTCTAAGGTTTAATAGATTGATTTTTTAATAATAAAATTCTGAATAACAACAATTTTGATAAAACTGAATGTTGTGTTTTTAAAATTGATGGTGACTTTCTTGAATGTTCTATAATTTTTATCTGAATGAAAACTAAAAGCTGTATCATGGTTGGAACTGAGTAAAGACTAGATTTCTAGTTTTGCATTTATGTTAGGTTATTCCATTTCTGTAGATTGCTTCATCACTGCTATAAGCATAACCTTGCTAGCAAATAAAGGGAAAAAAGGCTTTTGAGAAAGAGCTATTAGAAAAACAATAGGCCTCCCTTGTTGTGGCCACTACTGCCACGGGAGCTGAGGGGTGACTGGAAATGTCAACAAGAATAAGCAGCTCGTTTCCTGATGGCTTTTCACGTAGACTGACATATGTTTGTGATGGCATCCGAGACTGAGAAGACGCAGGCTTTACTCCAGTCTTGTAGCACTCAATCTCTTCTTTCCAGCCTCAGTCTAGGGATATTCTGCCTTGTAGGTGACAGACTTCTGCAGTTTTCCATAATTCAGCGAAATAACTAGCTTCGTGCCCTCTCCGATAATGCAGTGCATGGTGTGATTGGCTTGTGGTCCTAGGCAATAGTCACTGGAATCAAGAAGAAGATTGACAAGAGAGAAATCTTTCTAGCTGGATATTTAGCCTCTGTTATTGACATAGACCACTTTGTACTAGCTGGATCCCTATCTTTAAAGGCTGCTTTGACTCTTCCACAAAGACCCTTCCTTCACTGTTCTACTGTGATACCCGCTGTGGTTCTGACCCTCAAGTGTACCATGCACCTCTTCAAGCTCAAAGACTCATGATGCTACCTTCCCTGGATGGTCTTCATATTCTGGACCTCACACCATATCCAAGATGGCCTTCTTGACGGCTTATGGATATGCCCATTTGGAAAAACTCCTCCCTTGCCATTCTGGCTTTATGTAGTAAGCACATCATCTTTACCTCACATCTGTTCTTTGGTCATGTATTTAACAGGGACCAGACAAGTGATGTCTTCAAAACATGGAATTCGTATTGATGTCTGAGGTGACCATGCGGCAGCCTCAGAAAAGCAAATGGCTCAGACAATGATAATTAAGGATAGCCAGCATGAAAATGAATTTTAGAAAACATATTAGGTACTTATATTATTACTAGTGGCCCGGTGCACAAAATTCGTGAACATTAAAGGGGGATTAATTAGAGGAAATATTTTAATATTGCTATTTGCCCTTTCTCTGTAATAGAAGTGTTAGAGATGAAAGAAAATTAGTAAAATGTATAGGAAACTCTTCCTCCTCTCAAGTCTGGGGCGCACCACGGGACCCAGAGTCAAGTCCCCACACACCCATGTGTGCCTCAAAATTGCACAAGACCCAGACCCGGCCGGCCCTCCCCCCCCCATTGGGCTAGATCCAGACCTGGCCAGTCCCACCCTTGTTAAGCCCCACCGAGTGGGGGGCACGGCCTAAGGTCCCCCAGGCCGGGGCGGGGGGTGTGCCTTGAGGTCCCCCGTCAAGCCCCGCTGGGTGGGGAGGCATGGCCTGAGGTCCCCTATCAAGCCCCGCCAGGCGGGGGGTGCGGCCTTAGGTCCCCCGGCCTGGCGCTGGGGCAGGGGGAGCAGTTTGAGGTCTCCAGCCCATCACCAGGGTGGGGGGCGCACCTTGAGGTCCCCTGTCAAGCACTGTTGGGTGGGGGGCGTGGCCTGAGGTCGCCCGTCCTGCCCTGCTGGGTTGGGAGCACAGCCTGAGGTCCCCTGGCCTGGCGCTGGGGTGGGGGGAGCAGCTTGAGGTCTCCAGTCCATCACCGGGGTGGGGGGCGCACCTTGAGGTCCCCCGTCAAGCCCTGTTGGGTGGTGGGCGTGGCTTGAGGTCGCCCGTCAAGCCCTGCTGGGTTGGGAGCATGGCCTGAGGTCCCCTGGCCTGGAGCCGGGGTGGGGGGTGTGGCCTGAGGTCCCCTGTCAAGCCCCACCTGGTGGGGGTCGTGGCCTAAGGTCCCCCATCAAGCCCTGCTGGGTGGGGGGCATGGCCTGAGGTCCCCTGGTCTGGCGCCTGGGCCGGGGGCATGGCCTGAGGTTCCCTGTCAAGCCCCATGGGGGCGAGGGGAGGGGCACAGCTTCAGGTACCTGCTGATTGCTCGTTAAGGCTCGTTACGCGAACTCAGCCTCCGCTGTGGGTGCAGCCATCTTGTGTTACGGAAACCCCCGCCTCCGCTGTGGGCACTGCCATCTTTGTGGCAGAATGACGGTCAATTTGCATATTCCCTTTTTACTATATAGGATAACTCCTGAATCCTCTTGCTCAGGAGGCATGTATCAGTTTTTTTCAATGACATGTTTGTTGTAATTCTGCTTCTCTCATACAGTGCTATTAAAGTTCCATTTATTCCATGATCTATTTTTATTGTTTATTTTGTGTATCTGGCTTTACTAATAGCTCAATTAGATTAACAACCAGTTAAGTTTTCTGGAAGTCTAGTATTAAGGTAGTTGATTTCCTGATGAAAAACAGTTCAAATTTTAGGGTGAATAATTTGTGGAAAGTTAGCATGATGTTTGGATCCTCATTTTCCTGAGATACTGAAACAGTGAAAAGGCCAAAGTTGATACCGAGAGTAAGATGTATAGTGAATGCTAACACTTCCTTCTGCTCATCTGTGTGAACCCGGACGGGAGTGGAATTGCCAAGTGCTTTAGTGAGTTTTGGTTACTGGCAGAATCAGCACCAGTGCACTTGTGCTGAAATTATCATCTATAATAATAAAAGCGTAATATGTAATTAGACTGGACGTCCTTCCGGACAAAGCCACAGCGGGCGGGGGCTTGAGGCAGAGGTGGCAGAGACCCCTGGCCGTGGCAGCAGCGGGCGGGGGCCACAGCAGAGGCGGCAGAGGCCCCCAGCTGCAGTGGTGGTGGGCAGGGGCCGCGGTGGGCGGAGGCCAGGGCCAAGGCTCTTGCACAAATTTCGTGCATCGGGCCTCTAGTAATATTCATTAAGGGCAGTAACTAACATTAGATCTAGGTTATTATCTCAGAAATCATTTTAGGAAATTATTGCAATATGTTGGCTATAGCAACACCTTCCTGAAGTATTATTATTTCAGTATCTTTGCCCAAAAATCTCGTGTTAGGGTTTTAACTGTTTTGAAAAACATAACTAAATTTAACAAAATATTTGGTAAGAATTAACATGAGCAAAGTATTGCTACTTGGCTCATAACATAGAATTTGAATTCATGCACAAAAAAGAACTTATCAGTAATGTCATTTTGAATGTGACCTCCTGGATATGCCATTAAAATTGTTTTAGTTGCTGTCAATTTGTTTACACACTCCTCTAAAATATTATACCAGTTAAACCGTTTTTTAAAAGTCTGCCTGGTACTGAGAGACAAAACAGCTTTTCTCAAAACTGTTTTAGAAAATTTGATATTTCCTTTTACATTTGTCTTCTGTTAAAAATGATCAGCCTCTATTAGAGAAGGGAATTGGGTTGCTGTGAGTTTTAAATCTGCACAGTGTAATATTACTTTGATATAAGAGCCAGTGCCCCAGAGGCACCGCTTTTGTTTGCACATGTGCACCATCTGCTGTCTTGGTATTTGCTTACACATTTTGTGATTTTTCTTGCTAGTGACTGTGTGCCTTCCTCTCTGAGAAATGATGCAGCAATGCCTTACTGATCCAGCAGGTTTTTCTCATTAAGTTAAACAGTTCTGTAAATTGTTATCACAGTTCAAGCTCTGTAGTGTGTTTTTGTTGGTGGTGTTGTTAAAACCAATTGACTGCATCCTATTATATTTTACAACCTATTAGACCTTAGTATTAAAATTAAAAAAAAAAGAAAAACAATAAACTTTATTCTGTAGAAGAGATTAGGATTTATTCTTAGGCTAAACTCTATTCATTTGTAATTGTGGGAAAAATTAGGCCCACTATAAAATGACAAGAAAAGAATAATCTAGAGTAGGGGCTTTCAAAGTTTATAATGTGCACAATCACTCTTGGGCTGATTCTTAACAACTGCAAAGGGGCATCTTTTTTTTTTTTATAATATATTTATTTTTTTATTGATTTTAGAGAGGAAGGGAGAGGAAAAGAGAGATAGAAACATCAATGATGAGAGAGAATCATTGCTTGGCTGCCTCCTGCATGCCCCCTACTGGGAATTTAGCCCACAACCTGGGCATGTGCCCTTGACTGAAATCGAACCTGGGACCCTTCAGTCCGCAGGCTGAAGCTCTATCCACTGAGCCAAACCAGGTAGGGCAAAACTCCTCTAAATTATAAAGGTTCTGATTTACTGGGCCATGTCTCTATCTCCTCATTTTAATGGCTGTTTCAGTAGTCGCTGAGCTAAGTAGAGTTGTTGGTCCTCTTGTGTCCAGCCATAAGGTATTCCTGTCACTGTCTTTGATTTCCAGCCAGGGTTGGCCACATTATTTGTGGGGCTCTTTATTCCAAAAGCAGGAAAAAAGTGCCATTATAGGTTTAAAATATAAAGCTTTTTCCTTTAAAAGTATCTATAATAATAAAAGAGTAATATGCCAATTAGACCGGACATCCTTCCAGACGAAGCCAGGGATGCGAAGGCAGCCCGGGTTCCGGGTGCCTGCCGGCGGCCGGAGGGAAGCCCAGGTCCCGGGTGTCTGCCGGCGGCCGGAGGGAAGCCTGGGTCCCAGGTTCCAGAGGGAAGTCGGTGCCAGCAGCCGGGGGAAGGAAGGCCTACTCTTGAATGAATTTTGTGTATTGGGCCTCTAGTTTTATTATAAAACACTAAGGGCCTGGTGCACGAATTCGTGCACCTTGAAAGGAACTGTGGGCCACGAGGCTGTGGTAGGCACAGGGGTGGGTCTCGGCTCATCCTCCACGCCCCTGCCCGGCCCCTCCCGCTGTGGCCCCCAGTCTCCTGTCTCCTGGCAGCCCCACTCCTGTCGTTCGCACCCGCTGACGGTGCAGAGTGATTGGGGCCGGCGCCAGCAGTGGGTGCGAGCGGGGCCAGCACCGTCAGCGGGTGCGAGTGGCAGCTGCTACCCTGATCGTCCCTCAGGAGCAGGGGGAGTTGGAGAAGTCCTCAGGGATGATCAGGGTCGGCAGCCACAGCTCACACCAGCTGATGGTGCCCAGCGAATGGCATCGGCTGCAGGTGCGAGTGGGGCCGGTGCTGGCAGTGGGTGTGAGTGGTGGCTTTGGCGCGGACAGCGGGTGTGAGCGTGGCCAGCTCTGGCAGTAGGTGTGAGAGCCAGGCAGGACTGCAGCGCGCGGGAGGAAAGAATTTTCAGTAACCACCAGAGGCTCGCCTGATGACAGTGACCGGCGCCCCCCCTTGGTTTGGCGCCCCTGCTTACCTGCTCTATCATCCTGCCACGGCCAACGCCTGCCATATTCCACACATCCCTCCTGGTGGTCAGTGCACGTCATAGCAACTGGTTGTTTGGTTGTTCCGCTGTTCAGTCTGTTTGCATATTAGCCTTTTATTATCAACACTAATAATAGCCTAGGTGGTGTTACGCCCTCATGTCGTCACAAGATGGCTGCGTGCACAGTGGAGGCGGGGCCCGGTGGCCGCTCCGCACAGTGAGGCCTGGGGGTCCCGCGGTTCTGTGCGGCGCGGAGGAGGCTGGTCCCGGCGTCTCTGCCGCCTTGCGCGGAGGAGGTGGGTCCCAGTGGAGGAGGCGAGTCGCGGCAAGGGAGGGTAGTTGTGGGTGATCAGGCCTGCAGGGGAGGGCAGTTGTGGGCGATCAATCCGTCCCAGGGGAGGGCAATTGGGGGTGATCAGGCCGGCAGGCAGAAACGGTTATGGGCAATCAGGCAGGCATGCAGGCAAGCGGTAAGGGGCCAGTGGTCCCGGATTGTGAGAGGGTGCAGTCCGGGCTGAGGGACACCCTCCCGTGCATGAATTTTGTGCACCGGGCCTCTAGTATACGGTAGGAAAATAGGACTAATAGTGCTTTCTGAGTAATAACAAACTTATAAATTGCAAAAGAGCAATATTTTGGTTCTATCTATACTAATAAAAGGGTAATATGGTAATTAGACCGGATAGACTGGATGTCTTCAGACGTCCTTCCTGACAAAGCCGGGGCCCCAGTGGCACTGCCTGGGTCCAGGGTGCCTGCAGCCACCCGGGTGAAGCTGCCAGGGGTCCTGGGTGCCTGTGGCCGGCCTGGTCGAAGCTGGCCCGGGTCCCAGGTGCCTGCGGCCAGCCAGAGGGAGGGAATCCTGGGTCCAGGCTGGGAGGCCGAGGCAGAGGCATATAGGGACGATCAGGCTGGCAGGGGAGCCGTTAGGGGTGATCAGGCAGAAAAAAAAAATGGCCAGAGGGAGGGAAGCCCGGGTCCCCGGTGCCTGTGGCCGGCCAGAGGGAGGGAAGCCCGGGTCCTGGTTGCCTGCGGCCAGCCAGAGGGAGGGAAGCCCGGGTCCCGGTTGCCTGTGGCCGGCCAGAGGAGGGAAGCCTGTGTCCCGGGTGTGGGGGGCCGAGGCAGAGGTGGTTAGGGGTGATCAGGCAGTCAGGAGAGCAGTTAGGGGCGGGCAGGCAGGCAGGTGAGCAGTTAGGGGCATCAGGCAGGCAGGCAGAGTGGTTTGGGGCGATAAGGCAGGCAGGTGAGCAGTTAGGAGCCAGGGGTCCCGGATTGCGAGAGGGATGTCCGACTATCGGTTTAGGCCCGATCCCTGTGGACATCCCCTGAGGGGTTCCAGATTGGGAGAGGGCGCAGGCTGGGCTGAGGGTCCCCCCCACCCCCGCCCATGCATGAATTTCATGCACTGGGCCTCTAGTAACTATAATACGATAAATAATGTCTTCTGTTATATCTTGATTGGTCATAAGATATTTTTGGCTTGCTTTACTACAAATCTAGTAGGTTATCAAAATTTTACTTTTAGCAAGTTCATTTTCAGTTGGTATAATTAAAATTGATACCAGTTGCTCTTTGCAAATTCAAGATTGCAAATAATTTTAAATTTTTATTTTGAGTAG